TTTTATTATTTCACAAAGCCATATTTAGCTGTATTTATTCATTAGTCACAGATAAAAATTCCTTGAATAAGGCGCAGCCCTAATTTTTATTTTAGGTCACAGTAATCTGAAGCTTTATTTGCGACTTGTTTCCGTAGTAATTCGGCACTTGCACGTATTTCCGCGAGAGCTGGCAAAACCGAGTCCAGAAAACTTGTTCACAAGTTACACCTGATGGCGGAATTCGCCCCGCAAAGATTCTGCCATTAAGATTAGTTTATTAGATCAAAACGTGAGTATTTTTCCCTTTTGCCAATCGGCACGTAGCGCGAGATTGAACGTCTAACGTTGAACGACCGGTCGGAAGCACAGCAGCTAAAAATCATCAGAGAGAGACTACACCGGAATTTCCAGTAAGTGCCCTATTTTTGGCACCAGGTAGGTCGCATTACGGGAGGATAAGGCAATCAGGCAAGAGTGTAATTCGGTCAGACTGTTCGATTGACCTATGTTTCACAGGACACGCTATTTCGCCGCTTTAGATTTGGCCCTTTGTGCTGAGGATCGAAAAACCTACGCCCTCTATCCAAATGCTGTAAGATGTGAGATTCGGCACTTATATTAAATTAAAAAAAAGGTTAGTACAATCTGTCAAAGAATTCCCAGCGAATTACAGCGGCTTGAACTGCATCGAGCGATGACCAATCTAGGATGTTTAGGTTCTTTATCATAATCACATGTACGAAGGTATTAAGGAACACAACCCCGCGGTTTAGTATTTCTGTTTACTACGGGCAGTATCCTGGAAGAGATTCAATAATCTTTATTGAGGCTGAAGATTGCCAAATTACTGTTATCTCACACGAAACAGAAAGCTCTGCAAACGTATTTGAGAGTTGTAGATTTTGCTCTAATTTGTGGCTTACGAATATAACTTTCAAAACTTATATCTCGACGGAGAATCTAATGCGATACTCCGAGTATATCAAAAATAAACAAAAAATCATGCTCGAAACGCACAAATCCCCTAGCTTATTAATAGGTTACCACGTAACTCTAGCTTAATGCCGAGCCAAATACAATCAGTATGCCAAGAAATATTTAATTTAATACTCTCATGGTACACCAATACCTATATAAAGAAATCATGGACAGATCTATAATAGAGCTTAGAGGGTCTAGTCAATACACAAAAAGGGTCGTCTCTGCGAGATGATATAAATGCTTCATACGATATTGTCCGTGCTTAACCATTGATGTATCATCAGCTTATTATTACTGTACGAGTGAGCTGTACATGATGTGATTGCTACACGTTTGATCTACTTGACGAGGGAGAAGTGCTACCAGTGATAAGACTAACCAGCTTAGTGTGACAATCGGTGAGTTATAGAATACTGGTCCGGGATAGAGAAATTATAATTGGGCTTAGGGCCGGCTGAAATAAATTGTAATAATTCCAAAGAGGGGATTTCATTTCTTGTCGTTTGTTAGTTGATTATCAATATTGAGTACGAAGCCAAAATCTACATATGCGCTCAGATGTAAATCTTTCTTAGAAGTCCTACTGTGCCGTTGCTGCATAACAGCATGATGTAGTCCAAATTGTGCCTACTGAGGATAAAAATGCCGCTGATTATAGCAGAATACTTCATGTACTTTTATTTTTCAGACATTCAATTTTGTACTGTCAATAGAGCTTATCATTCGGCTAACTATTCTGATTGTGTATATATAAGGGTTATTTATTTATGTAATTCATAAGAAGAATTTTTTCAGTTGTTGTTTCGAGAAGAAATTGTCGCTCTGTTCACCATGTCTATACAGTAATTTAAGGTAAATGGGCAACAGTACGCTTAGGAAAGAGAGGACCACATGCCCATAGTATTATTTAGTATTTTTTTGAGGGATCTCAATATTAAAGAACAGGTTTTGAGTTTTTGTACTTTTTCTGATTGGTTTAACGTAAATAATATCTATAGAAGTTGACAACACCAGAGGCGTTAATTAGTATAGCGATTCAGAATTTTATTCATCTGTCGCACATTTTATGCTGCCCTGAAAAAAGAATTCTGACCCTCGAGCAGCACTTAACCTGCACCACCCACAGTCACGAACCATACAACCACCGCATACGTGACCGAAGGCGTCTGTCGGCGCGTACCTAGGTTAACAACAGAGGGCCAGAACCGTTAGGTATTGCGTGAAAAAGTACGCTGCGCGGGAAGGAAGCGCGTTAAGCCCTGACACACTCCGGGAGCGTTTGCGCATCTGTCGCGCATTCGAACTCATGCCATAGAGCCGCACGTAAGCCCACAAAAAATACCGTTGGCTAGTAAACTCGCGAGCGAGGCTAGCGTAAACTGCGTGCACCAACACAGGAAGCAGGCAGCCAACCTGATAGTGGGCATAACCAACCTGTTGTGTGGGCGGCTTAAACCAAATGCTGGCCTACGAGTACTCTCCGCCCAGTTGCGAGGTCTATCGTATGGGAACCCTAAGTTGGTGGAGGGTGTTCGAGCCTCAACTGATTGAATACACGCGACCGCCAATCTGCCCCGGTTTCTCATTACGTTTGCAGGCGGAAGCTTGTACGCGTAAGTTTACAAGAGAACTGCCTGAACAGAGTTGCGCGGCAGTGGATTATAAAACACCAAAATTCTGTATTTCTGTTCGAATTAGGGAAGCGGGCCCCTATGTTAACGGTGTAGAAGAAAAGTTAAGGGAGCATGCTTGGACCGGCACATTCGGCAGAGTGTGCGGTCCAAAAAGGGTCAGCTCTATGTCGGACGAATCCTCACCAGCTCGTAAGCACACCCAGGTCGCCACAAGGCACGCCGCGAGCCGGTCAGGCAGTCACGAGCTAGAAAAAAAAGTCGCAGCACGTCCTCTTAATCGTGTTTGGACGTCATGGCCATGTTGACAGGTTAATATGTCAGCGGGACAGAGTTCACGGACGCAGAAACAGAACGCCGCATCAACGTCTGCGGTAGCGGTCTGTGTTGTGTGCGGCGAGCGACTAAAAATATCTCACAAAAGGTGGAGTAAGAGCGAGATGTGTGATGTCCCCGAAAGAGTCGAAATACATACATCGTCTTGCCGGAGTGTTTAAATTGAGCCCACATATCACACATGTGTTGTGAATTGCCACTAGCAATCTTCCCGAACTTATATCTATTATTATATTTTGGTTATTGAAATGGTTCATTGTCTGCTATCAATATTTCCTGCTCCCCCCAATTACCGTGAACTAATCACACACTCACCCTATGAACCTTACATCACAGACGAACCGTCGGTCTTCGTTGTTTAGAGCTCGTCATTTCGTCATGAGTACAGCTATGCGTGAACGAGAGGCAAGTTAAATTCAGCCCGTGTACACCACTCATTTAATAATGTACCATTATTTAAACCGGCGAGTGTCAAATTTAACAATTAAACTGGATAACAGTGAAAAGTGAGACGTTCCGCCTTACAAGAATATACCAATAATTACTTGCGACTCGAATATACTTGACCTATCTCTTGAGGAGACATTAAGAAAATTAGCAAGCACGGTCTCGTGACAAAGTAAGCGTGTAAATTTTCCACGGAATTGAGTAAGTGAAAATCTAGTTTGAGTTCTGGAGCTGTCGGTTCATATTTTTTCCATTAACAACTGTGCTGTTTAAACAGTTGTAGTTTCATTGTTCTCTCGAGATTGAGTGCCACTATTTCACTTGTAAATAGTGTCATTAGAAAATGGAGTAAGTCATGTACTTTGTTAGTAGGTTGTCTTCTAACAGATATGGTATCTAGAGTGTAGAGGATATCATGGAACCCAGAGAACTGTCTAAGTACAACATGGAATTTTTTATTCACTGCTGTACATAGCATCTCGCCGAAATCTCAAACATCTCTTTGCCGATTCCTTACGTCTGAGACAAACGTACCGGCCCTGTACCAATCAAATTTTTCAAAAGCAAGTCTGAATATTAACCTAAATTATCATACTAATGTTGATCACAGTTTAATTCTCAAAATTAAATTTTAAACTTTCATTTCGGCTTCCAGACTTGACAGGTGTGTCTTTAAATCCTTTCAAACGGGATCGGTGCGTTAGAATTTGTTTGTAAAAGAGAACATTTCGGGCATCTAAAATTCTCGTGTACATATTTTTTTTAAAAATGCAATCAGGGTCGGTTCCAAACTTTGTTTAAAATTTAAAATATTTTTTTAATAAACTGATTTTAATGTTTAAAAATTATATCGCGATTTTTAAACCCTGCTTGCATGAACATTTAAAACTTTTGGAAACCAAAATTTACAGCAATACTTCTCTTTGAAGAAAGAGATTGGCGAGAAATGTTTGGTAGAGGGGTGAAGCACCTCTGTGGTCCGTGCTGTGTGTACTTCACCCCCACGATAGAGCCTGTGCTTGTGCCTCTGGCCTCGGCTGCGCTAGGCTGCTCTGGTTATGCAGACGGCGCCGGACTGGGCACCAGTAAGGATCCCTTTCCACGTACCCACTTTTCCAGCGGCCCGGACAAACGATCTTCCCTCTACCTTTTTGTACCTCTGCAACCAATTCGATTTTTCCAGAGACTGATCTGTACTTCCCGTGTGTTTTCCCAATCACTTTGGCTCACGTTTTCCCATTGGGGCTGCATCCCATTAGAAATCCTTATTTGTTTTATTCCTGTGACTGTATGTCCCTGATACCTGGCTGTACAGTATCCCCCGCCATGAGGCAGTTTTTCCCCGCCAGGTCTTGCCCTCCGGCGCTACCCCGCTTTAGCCGCTTCCAGCTGCTGCCGCCGTCCCCACCTCCCCCGTTCCCCATCCCCTATCCGCTTCCCTTCCGCAGCAGCCAGCAGAATTCTCCTGCCATCTTCCCCACTTGCCATCATGCCTCACTTCCTGCCTCCTGTTGTTTCCTATGCTACCAAACAGTCACACTCCTTGAATTATTGATTTATTATATTATTTATTTTTATTGGTTTATATTTATTTACTTTTTTATACTTATTATTTTATTTCAGAAATAGTTTGTATGATAAAAAAGCAGTATATCTTTCAATAGAATTATGTGATGAACACAAAGAGACCAGGCGAAACTTCGAGGTTCGACAACGGGGAGGTGCAAGTAAATGATTTGTTTTGATTTTACAATATTTTTTTTGCAACATGTAATAAAACAAAGCTTCAAGAGCAACGCATTTTACCGTACTGAAATATTAAACTAAAATATGACGAGCACGTAAAAATATTTTAGAGATAAATGTTCATGCCATAGTTATTTTATTGTTTGTTAAATACATAAAAGCACGAAGCAACAGTTTATAGTCGGAATGTTTGTTTGCTCGTGACTGTCAGCTTAAGGTAATGACGACTAGTAGAAAGTAGCTGTGAGTAGTACTTTAAATAGGTATACTCGTAGTAATAGAAATTAGCTGCTAACAATATGTATATCTGTTTCCTTCAATATTTATCGCTTCCCAACGAGCAGAATTTAAACAAGTCACAATGCTCTTTTGCTTTCAGAAACATTGGAGAAAATACTAATAATAATGTTTTAATCTGTGCTGCAATGTAGTTTAAAATAAACAAATTGCTTAATTGTATTCCAGTTTTAACTTTGTTAATCTAGAAATTGTTCGTAGTTAACTTTCGATAAATGATCTCCGCAATAAAATACTAGGAATACTAAAAATTAATATTCATTTTTATCTAGATTTGAGGGCATTTATTAATATCTTTTCTCGGTTCGGTGCTGACTTTTCCCAACAAGTACAGTATATTACATCAATTATGTATACATTTATTATGATTTTCTTCCGTATAAATTATCCTCTCATTTGATTCCTGACTTGTGTAGTGGTATTCCTGAATTGTGCCCATCCTTTTCCAGCTATATCCGTCCTTTCTATTTGTAAATTTATTCCGAAGAGTACGATAATAGAAAAGCAGGGCGCAAGCGATATATGAAGCAATGGAAATGAACATATTAAATATCATATAAATTTACATTTTCCACCAATTTTAATCCTTCACCACGTAACGTTATATTTACAGACCTTATTGACAAATAAATATTAAAACTTCATTAATGTTTATTTATTCTACGAATCTGTTTGGAAAAATCAAAAATAATCGATTTACTTACATTTTTTACTGTTTTTAAGTAAATAAACATATAAATAAATGATAGTTAATATAATAATACAATTGTGGGCAGATGTACTCGTATAAATATTGATACAGGTGTGAAATGTGGTGTTTACCATCATATTGGTGAAACATTTATAACACATTACGAAATTCTGCAAGTAGTGAAAATAAATGAAGATAATTCTTGTTAATTTACGAAAATATTATTGATAAGGTTCGACACAAGTCACAAATCTTTGAAAGGCTTGTCTTTGGGTAAGATTAATTTACATTTGAATTATTCTTTGAAAGTCAATTTAGAATATTAAATGGGCAAATTTCTTCACACTGTTGTCACGCTAACCGCAAATTCAATAATATAGTCATACGGTTAGTAACAGCGTAATGCTTACTTTCTTCTTAAAAAAACATTTAACAGAATATTCCATTAGAGAATAAATGAATCTTGAAATGAAACCCTGAATAAAGGACATTATTTCATTTTAGAATAATGTACTTGTCTCTTCTAAAAAAAAATACATTTTAAGCAATTGATGCAGTGCGATGCCATTGGCTATAATGGCAAATGAACTGTATTTACCGAATTATTATGTCGCTAAGAAAGCAAGCACGAACTGTTCATGACTGAGAACGAAATGGCGGTGCTCCAGACGGAAGAAGGCAGTCGAGACTCCGTTGCCGCAGTCGATTGCGCCCTGCCTCCGCTTGTGCTCTAACATGTGTTTCGCCTCCCGCCCCCGCCCCCGCCCCCGCCCCCGCTCCGCTTTGGCCTGTCCCGCTTCGGTCCCGCACTTCCCTCCGCTTGTCTCCGCCGGCGGCCCGCCCCCTCTAGCGCCTGTGTTTTTGTCTCTTGCAGTATCTTAGGGATGTACCTGTTTGGCGGTAAGTTTTGCATGCTCTCTGACGGCACCCGGCGCTGCGACTGCCGCGAGATCGTGGAACGAGATCCACGCTGTGTGTGCGACCGCAAGCACTTTAACAATATCCTGTGGGCCACCGTCACAGTCTTCCAGGTGAGACCCGCGCGCCGCGGCTCCTTGCTTGCTCACGCGATGCGCTTTTCTTATTTTTTTTCTTATTTTTTTTGTTTTCTTTTCTTCTGTTTTTATATGACCTCCGGCAATACGCGCGCCGTTTCCCATTTTTGTCTTTTTTAGTCGTCGTTTAAAATATGCGTCTTGTCGTGTTTTATCTATTTTCACACTGTTGCATTACTTTCACTTGCATGGTTTTGAAACGTTGAGTTTTCTTTTGGGTCAAAAGATACGGCAAAATGTCAAGTACTAATGTTTTTCCTAGTCAATTATTATATCGACTTTATAGACCAACACATCTGTTATCTAATAAAACTCCGAAAGCATTCGCATGATAGCCATAATTGAGCAATATTAGTGCACATTGATCATGTGATTAACCAAGCATTTTGTACAATATTCATTTAACAAATTACTCGTACATTGAGGGTATAACTGCACTACACATCCCATTGAAGATTTGTGCTGTGATTTACCATTCAGTAAAGGTAATTTAAAAAATAACAGACATAATCACAAATTAAGTCCTCAACACAAACTGTAAAAACTAAAATGAAGTACAATCTGAGAATGAGCGACACACTTGCCTTCTTTTGACCCTTAAACATTGCCGAAGGTTATTACTAATCAGAATATTAATTTATTTATTTGCATTTCCTGTTTTATCTCAACTTGTACCCTAAGCTCCTACACACCTCCATTCGAAAAAATACGCACACAGTCCGTCTTACCTCCTCCTGGAATCTTGGTGCCTTCTTTCTTGCTTTTTAACGCTATTTGACGGCTCTGACTGGTAATCCATGCGTAACGATATAAAAAAACAACTTAAGCCGTAGTTAAATGTTAATGGTTATGATGATATAAAAAATTAACATGTGTCATTTGCGACAGTATTAACCCAGCCAATGGTAGTATAATTTACAGTAATCAGTATTTGCCTAACTGTAAACTTGCTTACTATTTCGTAATTGTTTTGTAGTTTAAAATCTAGCAATATTCACTGAACTTATCTTCCGACAAGATCAATTCCAACGACAAAAACTTGGTGTTTGATCAAGTGTCATTACTCCATTCAGTTACAAACATATTGCTTTAAAGGCAAATTTTGAATACAATGAAGAAATAGTAATAAGAAGTCAAATAAGCATCCAAAAATCGTCAAGAACACTGCTTCCCATTTATTGTTGTGTTGGACATATATTATGTCCAGGTTAGCTTCCACTGCTTAGCCAAACACAAAATATGCACTATATCGGTGACTTTCTCTTTTTCTGCCTTCCAATGTGAAATATAATAATTCTCACTAATATCAATAGCAAATGTGTCATGGATCTATATCCAGATATAACATTACGAGGGACCATGTGCAATTTGAAAAATACAAATTTAAATGCCTAACTTTTTTTAAAGACTTAAATTTATTGAAATAATTTGTTGCCGACACAAAATTTAAGTTAAGATAACGGAAAACAAATATTTGAAAATGAATATAAATCATGAATTACATTGACATCATCTTGTCACTATCAATTGAAAATAATTTATTTGAAGCATGTCTCAATAAAATTCACTTGTATGTAATGTCATTGTTGCGATCTAGAGGCAGCATAATATTTCCCGGAGACTGCAGTATTTCTTGTTACGAATTGTTACTACGTTGATTCGCTTACGGCCAATCAGTACTTGTGGCGTTCTGATGATTCAATTCCACCCTCTTAACATGTTGTTTATCGCCTCGAAGAGAACTTGGTGTTCGGTAAGCCAGTCAGAGTCGGCATAAAGCGTCTGGCGCGTAGCGACGCATGCATGCTGCTCTGTTGGCGCTCCTGCTGTCCGGTTCGCCTCCCCGCTGCCGACCCGCCGCGCCGCCACCGCCGCCGCCGTACTCGGCCGCCCTTCCTCGCCCCGCCGCCGCCACCGCCGCCACCGTCGCCACACGCGCTCACGTCGTGCGCCCAGCACTTCTCAGAGCGGTGCGTCTAAGATTCGCCGAGAGGCGATTGAGGGTTGGTATAAGCGCGTGCGAAAGCTTGCTTTAAACAGAGGTGGAAATGACACAATCACGTAAGTGTCATGGGTATTTGGAATGTTGTTATGCCGTAAACGCAACGCCATCAAGAAATGAAGATGACATGCAGTGTGTTAGGGGTCAGTGAGATGTTATAAATAAATTAACAAACGTGTAAATAATAATCAAATGAGTCATTGAACAGCCAATTTGTTTTTAAATTAACAGGAAGTGTTTTGTCTACACTAACAATTATCATGAAATTAAGTTATTTATTTTAAGAATTTAAATGAAGTATAATAATCTGAAGAAAAGGTACCAAAAATTGGGCAAATCCCCCAATAGTCAGCTGACATTCAATATGAGCTTTTTTCAGAGCATGAAACGATATGTTGATGTCTCCACTGAAAATACTATTGAAGCACAATGTGGAACACTACTGCCACGAAATCCCATTTACATGTACTATTGCTTTAAATTTTTCGCATTTCATACTTTCGCATGCCTGTTGCACATCTTCATGAATTAAGTAACTATAGGGTTCTACACCATTGTGTTTTAAGAATATTCTTCATGTCTGTAATACTTTAATATTCACTTTGCTATTATTATTTTTATTACTTTAACACATTTTTTTATTATTGTGCTCTTCGAGTCTGTTTGTTAAATATAGATTGCGTCTATTTTGTGGGTGCATTTTAAGGGAAGAGGTTCATTATGTAACTCATAAACACGTTTACATTTCCACATGCATCGATTTTCCTTGACCATTTATCTCTCCAGTCGTTTTGGCCAATTTTTATATTCGCAGTTCCAAAGTATTGTAAGTCATCTTGACATTATGAATTGTAAAAACGAGATGTTATTAAGACCACCAAGGAATTCATCTAAGTCAAAAAACATTAAAATTAAATTTATTTCGTTATTACACCTGATTTTGTGCAATAATAATTCGAAGAATTGATCCACAACTACAAAAGCCTTTTGAAAAATAACTTAATGAACTAAGAAAAGTGACGAATTTCCTTTTAGATTAAGTAGTGTTTTAAGTGAAGTACAAAAAAAAGACAGTAAAATGTTATAGATACAAAAAAAGGATATTTTTTAGAGTTTGAATGTGATTTTTTATCAAAGCAATGTCTAAGCAGATTTGAAGATTATTTTTTATTCTGACAAACTATTTATTTGTTTAACTTCAGTAGTAAAAACTCTGTCATGTTTTTGAAGTGGGGCAGAAAATGTATAGTTTGTGTCCAAAAGAAGTTCAAAGTTTTAAGAATTGCTCATTTTAATTAAAATAGTAATATTGTTTTGATTAAGGTAAGATGGACAAAAAATTCTCGAGCGGTATTTAATATCTACGTCGTGTTGTCTTCACCTTCTTTGTATTCACATTACCTTGTGGTTAGAAAATCTGTTCTTTAAAAAAGCTGTCAGGGAAAAATTCAACGACATTCCTGAATGAATCATTTTTTTTAATAAACACGCCAAGACATTTACTAATTATCACCGTTTTTTACTTTCTCGTTTACTTCTCGAAGTGTAGAAATAGTACTGTTAATGCAGCAGCGAAGGGTGTCGAATTTCCGGCATATAAAATTAATTTGTGGTCGCCGATACTGAAATGGGTTTTTTCTTGTTCCTGTACGTAATAAGTTTCTCAAATACGTAGTGTAGTCAGAATCGACGTTTTGTTGGTTGGGTCCGTCTGTACTGGCTCAACAGCTCCTAACGAGGCCACGACCTAGCAGATACCTTACTGTTCTTTAGAAGCGTAGAATCTGGTGATATAAGTAAATAAATCTGGTGATATAAATAAATATTTTAGACGTCTCGTGAAAGTGAAAATAGGTAAATTAAGTACCCAGATGCAGAATACTGTTCTTTAATATCGTAGTTGCCTTGTGTAAAATATAGCTTAAGTATACAACAATCGAGAGTTATCTCGTTACAAATTACGTGAAATTGAGAACAGCAAGGATGATGTTCTTAGAGAAGTCCGCACTATATTTTGTGAAAGTTCATTATCAAAAGCCAGCAATTTCTCAACATAAATCTCAAAATTTGAAAAGAATTGTAGCGTTGGGTCTACTATACAGTTCATAAAAGTCACGTTTGTTTCGAGCTTTTGAGTAGAACCCAAGGAAATTGACGCAAAAACGTTCGCTGAGCAATACGTATAAGTTTACATCTGCAAACTTAAGCATTTAATTCTTGCAAGCTCAGCATGAAGATGAAGATATGTAAATTTCTTTTTAGTCGGTGCATGAAAAGTGGAACAATAGGGAAGGTATTGTATTTTGTGAGAAATACTTAAATGCGAACGTGCCTGCCAAGTTAAAAAGTATAGTTTTAGTATTCTTCGCAGAAACATTCTCTTCTGACACATTTTGTATTTCAGTTTACGTCACCAGAAGTGGCATATCATTCATTAAAAGTAGAATGTTATTTTTTCCGAGAAGCAGTTTCTTGTCTTACGCGCATTGAAATCTCCTCGGGCGTCAAACCTCTCCCATGTATTGGAGCGGAGATCGCCAAGTGATATCCCACGCATTCCAATTGAACTGAAATAAATCGTCATTCGCTAAAGTCATTAGTCCCGTAAGTGTAGCGCATGTTTTCATCTCTTGAGGTGGCTGTGATTTTTCTCCAGTGGCTTGGAAGTCAATGCTTCGACCTACGTCGGCTGGCAGGGATTTTCCCCAACCACGTATCTCCCTCCAGCGGGGAACCTCGTCAGCCAAGACTAGGTCTAAGCTCCCGACTGATCTCCAGACAAGTGAGTTAGTTTGTGCATGTGAGTGTACGTAAGGGTTGAGGATATTACCAGGGAAAGGATGGGTAGAATGCGCACGGTCGGTAGCCCGTTTGTTAAGGTACTGCTCTGTCATTCGCTAGGTGTTGATCGGAGAAACTGCGGAGAGCAACACTTCAAAGCGGTCGCCCGCTAGAATTCTCCTCCACAGAAGGACTTACTTCGGCCCAGCTGTCTAGCTCGTGTCGAAAATCGTGCCACCGTCGGCTCCCGAACCTTAGGACCTTCCGATCAGAGGCACTGCATTAAAATTTGCTGATGCTCTGAGCCTCCTTTGCCGATTACGATTTGAAGCGATAATAGTCATTAATAATAAAGTACATAAATGGACAAATGGCTGTGGTGGTGACAATCTGAATTTATTGTGACTATAAATAACACAATAATTATTGATTATAACTAATTTATTAACAATTTTACCCAGAATCACGCATTGATTAGTAATAATATTTTCTTCTGATCTAGTAATAAAGCTATATAATTCATGCTAAAATCTTCATCCAAATTCAAAATTTACCCATTATTATTATTAATGTTATTATTATTATGATTATTATAAATAATATTTTAGCTGTGGAAAGAATTAACTGACCCAGCCGGGGAATCGATCTTGGATATCCCTGGCCACGTTTTCTGGACAAGTCTAATTTGTCTAACAGTTTGAGCTACAAGAGGCAGACAACTCGCTCTATAGCCTTAAGTAAATAAAAGCCTCGTGTGTACTATTCATGCTATCACCTATTTCCAAGTTTAACAATACCTTGGGAATACGTTTCGCGCTTAGTAATATTGTCAACTACCGTTGCACCTTACCGTACGATTATTTAATCAGTGAACATATAATTTATAATTATTACACCATGCTTATTAGCCATGAGGTTCCAGTGGTGTTTGACAATTGCATGGTAGGTAACCCCATGGTGTCATTTTCCAATAGAAGTTGACAAACTCATCTGTGACCACATGTATAAAAATATTTTTACTTTCTCGTATTCGTACGTATATACGGAGAATTATACGTAGTATAGGGAAAGTTATGTAATGCTGCGGAAAATCGATTTCGAGATTTCATCGGAAATACACGTTTTGCGGTCCCCTGATATCTAAAAAGTACTTTACTTTCTGGCCTTACGAATTATTCGTAAGAAGAGAAAGTAATGTAATCGTGCGGTGGAAAACGATGAATTTTGGCCAGAAAACGTCTTATAGCCAGGCTCGGGTAACGAAAAAGTGGATAAATTCTGTTGCTAAATTTAGAGGGAGGAATACTCTAACACATAGTGTAGCGGAATCCATATTTTGTTGCTCCTTGATACCGAATATTCGTCTGGCGGCAAAACGTTCGTCTGTCCGTCCGTCTGTGGTCAACGCTAGCGGCCAAACCGTTCAGACGATTCTCTCTAAAATTGATATTCCTCAATCGATCTGGCTGATGTCGCGGCCCCACGATTTAGAACCGATATTTTAATTTGTGGGGGGGGGACTTTACATGAAGCCCCAAACACAATTTTCAATTTTTTTAAATATATTGATTAATTTTTTTGTTCAAAACTCCAAAATTCGTTTAAGGGAATGGTGCAGGTCCCATTTTCA